TGTGTGTGTGTAAATAAATATATATATATATATATATGTATGTATGTATGTATACACTAAATATACACATACTATACCCCAATTATACATATAACTACACCCTAATTATATATACAGCTACACCCGAATTTTAATATAACCACACCCTAGCGATACATATAACTACACCCTAATTATACATGTAAACTGTACATATAGGCTTCACCCTAATTATACATGTAAACTGTACATATAGCTGCACCCGATTTTCATATAACCACACCCTAATTAGACATGTAAACTACACCCTAATTATATATATATATCTATACCCATATTATACATTTAACCACATCCTAATTATACATATAACCACACTCTAATTATACTTATAGCTACATCCTGATTATACATACAGCTACTACTAATTATACATATAAATACACTCGAATTAAACACATAACTACACCCGAATTTGACATGTAACTACACCTTAGTTATACATACAACTACCACTAATTATACATATAAATACACTTTAATTATACATAAAACCACCACACCCTAATTGTACATAAAACCACACCCTAATTGTACATAAAACTACACCCTAATTGTACATATAATTACACCCTAATTGCACAGAAAACTACACTCTAATTATACATAGAACGACACCCTACCTATACCTACAACTACACCCGAATCATACATATAACTACTCCCGAATTGTACATATAGCTACACCCTAATTATACATACAATCTGCTCTATTTTTACATATAACTACACCCTAATTGTACGTATATCTACACCCCAACTATAAATATAACTATACGTGACTCATGCATACATCCGTACCCTATTGATCCATATAACTACACCCTAATTATACATATATCTACACCCTAATTATACATATATCTACACCCTGACTATATATATAACTGTACCTGACTCATGCATATATTTGTACCCTAATCATATTCATAACTACACCCTAATTGTGTGTGTTGTTAGATCATTTGCACAGTTTTAAAGGTAGGTATCTGGTATAGTTTGCCAACGTACTTGCCGTTATAATCCTGTACCTTAATCTTAATTATCACTTCCGCTGGTGTGTGCCATGGACATCAATCACAGTGTCTTACTGGTGTTTGTAGGTGTTCAATATGCCACGCTCGCATTTGTGTGATATTTAAATAGAACTGTATCTGGAGACATGTCATGGTATGCCTATAGTTGTATTTTTTTGCATTTGTACGGTATGGTAGATAGTGTTTTGAGCCCCGTTTTGGGGACTATACGTCCAAGGTATTCAGTATATATACATTTATACTTTCTCCAAACACACGTTTTTCTCATATTAGTTTGTGCTGGTGTTAAGTGTCCCTATATTTTTTCTCCTGGTAATTACATATCACTATATTATTTCTCTATATATATTATATGTTCTTAACTTCTTATATCCTTACATTTTTAGATTCTTTCTCTATATATCTTTTTATTCTTATTCTTAAATTATTTATTGTTATAGTTTCGTATTCTTATAATCTTTCATCGTTATATTCTTATATTCTTACATTATTATATTCTTTCTCCATATATCCTTATATTCTTATTCTTAAATTCTTTATTGTTATAGTTTATTATTCTTATATTCTTACATTATTATATTCTTTCTTCGTATATCCTTATATATTCTTATTCTTAAATTCTTTATTGTTATAGTTTCATAATCTTATATTTTTACATTCTTACATTTTTTCTCCATATAAACTTATATTCTCATTCTTAATTTATTTTATTCTTATATGCTTTTATTGTTATATATTTGTATTCTTACATTCTTCCACCATATAACCTATTCTTATATTCTTATATTCTTATTCATATTTAATCATCTGTTCTTGTTTCAGCTATTCTTGTAGCCTTATAGTCTTTCTCCATAGTTTCTCGGTTTCTTAGGTTCTCATATTATACATCCTTATTCTTCTCTTATATTCTTATATCCTGTCCTGGCGTGTGGTGTAAGGTGATTCGTCTGTCAGCCGTGCCTGATCTACTTAAGACACTAAGCTTGTTTTTGGTTCTTATGGCCTATACGGCACATAGCTTTGAGCTATATGCACTTTGGTATGTACGCGAATATACGTTTATACGCGTGACATATGTACGTTCATCAGTGTTGACGTGTTGAGTATTGAGATGTACGCGAATATTCGTTTATATCCGTGACATGTGTAAGTTTTCTATCTGTGTTGACATGCTGAGTGTTGGGATGGTCTATACGAATTTCCTAGTATGTCTATGTGATAAGTGCATGTGTGAAATACCCAGAGCGCATCTACTGTAAAAACACGGGCGGTCATAAGCGTCTACCCAGATATAGATACCACATATACACACAGATAACCCCGGTCAAATGGCTATACGCGTATGTAGGTTTACAGTACAAATTGAAAACGTATCTCGACACAGGCTTGCTGGCCGTTCACCTACTTTGTGTTCTGTGGTACACTCATAATACCATCTCTCTTACACAGCTAAGATCTTGACCTGTTATTACATGCTATACACGTATGTAAGCTTCCAGAGCATTCCAAAAACGTATCTCGGTACATCCTTTCTGGCCCGTTTTCCTACTTTTTCCCCTATGCACCTCTAGGTCTCACTGCGTAGTCGGTGTACTGGTTTGTTCGTTCGTGTTACTTGGACTTTGATATCCCTATTTCATCTAAAATACTTATTTTATATATATATACATATATATATATATATGTTTGTATATATATATGTGTGTGTGTAAAGTTTTTACAGGGCAAGTACAGTTCTACTGCATCCTGACAGCATCTAGCAGTCTATCTATTACGAATATGTTTTCGTGCATGACCATTACCATGGACTCCAGTCGGTCGGTACTAGAAAGTGCTACTACGCACTGTTACAACCTTACTCAAAAATACCAGGAACTCACCTTCATCTCATAATATAATACAAAACATACAGGGCGTGGGCGTCGCAATTCTACTTCATCCTGATGGAGAATAGCAGCTTATCCACTGCCAATCTGTTTGCCTTCATGACCATTGCCATGGGTTCTATTGGCTCAGTGTTGGGTGGCTACTTTGCAGACCGCGTGGGTCGCACTGCTGTGTGTGCTGTGTGCACTATCTGCTCAGCAACAGTCTCCATTGCGATTGGACCAGGTATGCATGTGCATATATCAGTGCGTACGTATATGATCTCGCATATAGTCAGCTATAGTTTATTTCATCACTGATTTCGAATTATATATATATTATATTATATATATCATATATATATATATATGTATGTATCAACAGAATACATGAAGTTTTCGTAGTACCTTCATGGAACCTCAGTTAAACGTCACTCGTACGAGTTTTTCAAATACGTATAGCTCTATCACTTTTATTGTGCATATCTTACTCTCAAACAATACATTAGAACGCCTTCGGTCGGTGTACACTCAATATCAGTGTGTCTTGTTTTGAAGTCTATGGGAATTTACGATTAGTTTTCCCGTTTGTATCACCCATTCACACAATACAACCTTTGTCGACTATTGTGTGGACACGTACATTATACATACACACATCACATATACAAAACCCTAAACCCTATTCCTGAAACCCTTATATTCTAAAACATACACTCCACGCCATAACATATACTCGCATCTTCCTCGTTGTCGCATAACGATATCTATATATATCATATCCAGAAACGAAACTGGCATATACATCGATCCTTGCATACGATATATCTCTAACTATGGAAACACTGCGCTTAACATATCATCTGCATCGATTATGTACACTTATAGCCGCGGTTGCGACACAGAGTGAACCGCTGGTGTGGGCATTGGCCTTTCTCTGGGGCTTGACCGTCGTCGCCGACAGCGCGCAATACAGTGGTATGTACATGTACATATGCATGGAGTTAGAACACATCTTGCGTAGGTTTTATTATTGCCGAGCGTATTGTTTGTGCGTGTGTGTGCGTATGACCAGTTGTGTTGTGTCCTCACGGGTAAATTGATACAGGCATTTTGCTGTACGTACGTATGCTATGAAGACATAGCACTGTTAGTTGTTGTTCTATATTTTGGGACTGTGATTTTATGTCTAATATATCTACCTTAATGTGTATACACAAACATGTACCGGTAAAAGATACCTATTCTGCATACAAACCAACAAGCAGTACAGGTCCCTTGTAGTAGTGTGTATCAACTATCTTTCTGTTTTGTTTTTTTCTCAACCCTATATCGTATTATCGTATTTCTTCTTGAATACTAAAACCACCCAGCCATGATCAGCGAACTGTGTCCTGCCGACTTGGTAGGCACAGCGTTGACACTGCAGTTGAGCAGTGGTTACAGTGCCACTGTAGTCAGTATACTGGTGCTACCGACGATCGCCAACAGTACTATATTGACCTGGGAGTGGAGTTACGCTGTTGCGGGAGTAGTCTCGTATCTGGGACTTTTCATGCTGCTTTGGCTACGATATCTTCCAGAGTCCGAGAAAATATGTGGCGGGAAGAAGTAGACCACAACTAGAGAACGATATAAATAGAACCGAGTTAGGGTTTAGGTTCGTTAGCGATAGGCGCAGTCGATGTACCGAGGAAAGTATATTCGATGAGAAAACTTAGAACTGAGAGTCGTAAATAAATTTAGTACAGAAATATATGGAGGTGATAGGATTTTTTTTGCATGTCTCTTGCCTTCGTCTGTAATGCAAGTGCATGTAGCGAGTGCATTCCGTCTGGCAACAACGTCTATTCGATCTTGTGAATGATATGGAACTGTGTACAAAAACACCTGTATCGCAATTGTCACGGTCATGGGATTAAATCTCTCGATAGCTATTGAGCGAAGAATAAAATTTTGGCTATCTTATTCTGACAGCAAATCAAGCGATCAGTTGGAGACCAGTACTAAAGAGAAGCAACGAAGTAAGACTACTTGTAGTCGCCAATTGGTACGGCAAACTGACAGTATCCACCTATAAAAGAGATACGATTAAACTGCAAAGCTACAAGTGTGCAATGAACGATTTATCTGGATAGCTTTGATTCAGCTACAAATTTCATTAAAAGGGCTTCAAACTTTACTTTCAACTTCACGAGCGTCTATCAATTCGGAGAGCGACGGCAGGAGATGAGAATTTCCTTCAACAAAACTGAACTTGGCAAAAGTGGAATCTGGTATTGTGGAATTACTAGAGCATTGGATTACCATATGAACCAAAGAGGTAAATGTGAATAAACGACATCCAAACACAAGTCACACAGCACGAACGCACAAAGACATACTCATGAACGGATGCTTTCTTTTCTCATCTAGAACATCTCTGCTCAAAGAAGAGATACTTTCGGATCGGCAAGAAGTAAATAAAACGCTAAATGATATAAGAGCAACTATATACAGCGTCGGAAGCTGATCTCTCATGGAATATTAATACTCCATAGCCTGCCAGTTGGATGAATCCGCGTCTTGGCCGTAGTTCTCGCTCGCCCGCGACCCTTTGGCTCATAAATTTTGCTACAGGCCCCCAACGTTGTGCCTTACACTGCGTAGGAATAGAAAGTGACCTCTTACAGTACTAGATTATCCAGAGGTTGGTGTTTTTGTACAGAAAAACCTTGTCCGCCACCATTATCTATTCTTACATGTTAGCTAATTAAATTTATACTATGACGGGAGTTCTCTACCACGCTCATCGGAGTCAGTCTTGACCGGTGCTCTCGGTTGGTCTCAACTTGACTTAGGAAAACGCATCTCAACGGTGGCTCTACAACCGAGTCTTTGGTCCTTATCCCTTTGGTATGTGGGCGGAACATGATTCAAGGCGAGAAAAGTGGGAGTGTCCGGTGGTATCAGTGAGACTTGCTTAGGTCCCCCGCCTTGTGCGCTGACTGTGGCTCGCTGATCTTTCATCAGTGCTCGTTGTCCCTGGCTTCTTTGGCCTTGACTGCCTTCTTTTACGTCTCCGGCGTTGACGGTACGTTGTAATGACATCAGCATCTGCGATATCCCATCCATGCGTCCAGATACGCTCACCATCTGTCCATTGCAGTAGAACCCTCGGATGGACGGCCTGTCGTCGACTATCGATGAGAACTGAGTCTCTTTGTTTGGTTGTACGTGTTTGTTGGAAGTGAATGCTTCCGGAGCACTGGCCCTTTTTACAAGGCTAAGTAGCTCATCACTGATCGAGTCGGGATATTCGGGGGCTTTAGTCCCACCACGGTTACAAACAAAATACCCGTTGCCCTCCCTGTATACTATTTTGTATGGTCCGCCATTTGGTGCTGTTAACTTGTTCATTTCACCTTGATAGCGGACCATGACAAGGTCCCCCTTCTGGAAATTTACATACTTCTGTTGGTATTTTCGATCGTATGCTGCTCGCATCTTCTCTTGATACTGTGCAACATTGCTCTCTAGTTGTGGCCTAATTGCTTCTTCTAGATTTTGAAGTCGCTCTTCCCAAGATACTGTTGTACTGGGTGCGGTCACTGGCTCATTGTAGTCCGTGAGTTGATTCTGTCTGCGACCAAAGTACACATTAAAGCGCAGAGACTTGTGTCTTCTGGATATACGCAGATTATGGCCCATCTGTACGAATGGAAGTCGTGAACACCAGTTACCTGGGTTCTGTTCAACGAATTTCCGTAACAGTGGCATGAGGTCTCTATGTGATCGTTCGTTCGCGCCTAAGACTTTAGGTTGATACGGCCGAGAGACTAGGTATTGCATTGGCGCTTGTTCAACAACTTTTGAGAGTATGCTGTTAACATATTCAGTGCCTTGGTCCGTTTGTATGATTTGTGGAAATCCATGTTCACACATAATCGGTACCAGTGTGCGTGCTATAGTAGCCGCGGATTTGTCCATCATTGGACATAAAATGACGAATGATGAGTATACGTCAAGGTATACTAACACGTATGTGTGTCCTCTATTGAAATCCAATAGTATCCCTATGGTATCCACTTGAACTCTGTCGCTTGGAAATGCGGCTGTAATTGATTGTAAGAGATGAAATCCCTTAAAATTTATTTTTGAGACATGATATACATCCGTCAATGAACTTGTGTACATGTTGCTGGATGTCAGCCCAGTTATGTCCATTTGCTTGCAATTTGTGTACTGTTTCCTCAGGAGTGTAATGTCCCAAGTTGTGGTATTGCTCAATGATGTTGACATGTGTCTCATATTCTGTTGCCTGGGGTGCGTTTCCAGTGTGAACTGGTTCGGACGCTGCAAGTGTATGGCAGGTTGTTCCCGCGTTGAATCAAAGTATGGAGACTTAGCTTCTATCTTTGCGACTAATGTGACACCCCATGGGGTCTTGCCGCAAGCCTTCTTGCCCTCTTTGAGGAACGTGTTGTTGGTGTTTTCCACTAGCATCGGGTCGTCTTCTAGTAAAGACAAGAACTTTGGAAACCACGAGGCATTGGGGTAGTATGGTATACATATCGTGATGCTAGTTGCCTCTTCAATGATTTGTCAAGGACCTCAGGTATGAATTCCCATGGTGGATTCGCCCATGCATTAACTTCTTGCGCTCACTTTTATTGTAGCGCATTCTGTTCTTTGGTGTAGTATTTATCTGTGTGCGCATTGTGTGCTGATGCAAACAGATCTACTGTGAGCTCCCCAAACCTTCGTTCCGCTTCTTGGTAGAATCTGGGATGTAACATCCAGTCTATAGCTGAGATGGTTATGGGCATGTTCGTTTCCAACGTGGTCTACTCTTGGCTATTATGTGTTGCCTCATTCGCCTGTTGTAATACTTTTGACTCTTTGGAACTAAAGGTATCTTCATGTAGACGTGACAACATATCTGTCATCTGGTTGTCCTTGCCTGGGACATGTATGATGGAGAAGTGGTGGTGGGACATTTTTGCTATCCACTTGGCTAGCATTGGGTGTAACGTCTGTTGACTATTCATTTGCGTGAGCGCTTTGTGATCTGTCCACAGTGTTATGTCCCCCCCTTTGATGTATTCGGAGAAAAGTTCCAGGCTATATACCAGTGCTAGTAGCTTTTTGGCATTTGTGCCATAGCGTTGTTGTGCTGGATTCAAGCCTTTTGAGAAGTAGAGAATGTCTCTTCTGACTCCATCGATGACTTGAAATAAACACCCTCCTATGCCATAGTCACTAGCCTCGTTCATAGTTTGAAACGGTACCCCATTAACAGGGTATGCTAGCGTCGCTGAACAGGCGATGGCTTCTTTGAGTTCTTCCCACTTCTTGATTAGTTCCGGTGTCCATAACATGGATATGTTCTGGTTCATTTTTCCTTTCATTAAGTTCCGAAAGTGTTTCGTTGTGTGGTCAAAGTTGGGGACATGGTCTCGCATGTAATTTGCTAGTCCCACTGTTTTGTGCAGATCTCTTTTTGTTCTGGGTAGTGGCCAGTCCATCATTCTTTTCTGTTTCTCAGGGTCTGCTTTGAGGCCCTGTGTGGTGACTTTACTCACAATGACTATGTCATCTACATACACTTGCACTCCTTTGATATCTATGAGCAAATTTGCCATGACTCTCTGGAATTGTGCTGTGAGTGAGTGTAGTCCAAAGGCGCCGACTTGAATGAGTATTGGCTCCTCTCCACGAGAATGTGAAGAAGTGTTGGCTTGCTTCGTCTACTAGGAAGTGGTGAAATCCTCCGGTGAGATCGAGCTTTGAAAAGTACTGTGCCCCTTGTGGGTTGTGTAATACTTCCTTTATTTTTGGTAACAGAAACTTGTCTTGTTCATATTGGTAGTTGATCTCACGTAAGTCTAAGCATGTCCTTACTTTTTTGAGTAGACCCGTATGGTCATGTTTACCTGTTGATAGCAACGGTAAGTTCACCGTTGTTGGTTTGTCACGTTTGTATATGTAGCCATCGTGAAGCCATCGTTGCACATTCTCATCCGTTTGTGGAACGTATTTTTTTGTGGAACAAAGACTTTAGCAAGCCTCATTTGTTTGACGTTGATTTCATTTGCAGGTACCGTGACTGTGGAGCCTGGTAGGTTGCAGTAAACGTCAGGAGGTATATTCGCGTTGGTATCCAGGAGGTCTGTGTAAAAATAGCAGGTTCCTAATAGTAGTTGCACAGTTAACGTATATTAAAAACGTATTGGCGTATTAACGTTTATGCTTATAATACTGGAATACGTTTAACGAATTGAGCATGAACACGAACTGAGATATTCAAGATTCTGAACATGTGATAGTACTCAGTAGAGTATGGGACTCTACTGTGGAAAATTAGTTGGTTTTCCAAATATAGATTGGTTTTCCCACTGAAATTAGAATTGTACAAAATATATGAACGACACCAATCTGACACCTGAAAACGACACTTTGGGAATCTCTAATTAAC